ACACGTTTGTAACAAGTGTGGAACACGTATGTAACAGGTGTTGGACACGTTTGTAACAAGTGTTGGACACGTTTGTAACAAGTGTGGAACACGTATGTAACAGGTGTTGGACACGTTTGTAACAAGTGTTGGACACGTTTGTAACAAGTGTGGAACATGTATGTAACAGGTATGGAACAGGTGTGGAACATGTGAGGGGGCTACCTGCAGGCTGATCTTTCCGTAGCTGTTCTTTAGCATGGTGACGACTTGGCTGTGGGACAGACCATCAACTTCTTGACCATTGATCCTGACAATCCTGTCCCCGACCTGGAACCAGAACCAGACTGAGTCTAACACAGACAGAAAATCTAGAAAAGGTTGAATGTTTTGAGTTTAAAACAAACTAAATCTGTATTTATCACAAGGCCACAGGTTTCTGAGCCATAAAACAGCTGAAATCTTCAAACAGAACTGGTTCTGATCCGATCACCTTCAGTCGATGCGTCTTGGCAGCCACTCCGTTGGCCTGAATCATGGCGATGAAGATAGGGACGTCCCCCAAAGGACTACCCTTCCCTCCTGCTACACTCACCCCGAGGGAGTCACTGATGCCCTGAGAGGTCAGAGGTCAAGGTTCAGATCTTCTGATGTTCAATAAAAACACAAACAGGATCTTTTCTACAGAACATCAAATCTTCAGACTGACCTCCTATTAAGTTTTCTGTCTAAAACTTAAAATAAAACTGTGAAGTTTAGGTTCTCAGTAAATACCAGGTCTGTGCTCTTCATGTGGTCTCAGAACCTCTCTAGACCAGATCTAGACTTAGTTTAGAAGACTGATCCAGTTTCAGACAAACCAAACCAGATAATGTTCATGTGGGAAAGCTACTTCTAAAGACACATTGGAATTTAGACAAAAGTTTCTATATTTTAATTTTTGGAAAACTGCTTCTGGAAAAAATGTTTYGGTTGTTTTTAGATTTTGAATGAATTATTGCACATGATTTGTTTTAGGACGAGCTTTGGACATGTTCTAGACTGGCTTTGGACATGATCTGGATGGGATTTGGACATGTTCTGGACTGGCTTTGGACATGTTCTGGACTGGCTTTGGACATGTTTTGGACTGGCTTTGGACATGTTCTAGACTGGCTTTGGACATGTTCTGGACTGGCTTTGGACATGTTCTGGACTGGCTTTGGACATGTTCTTGACTGGCTTTGGACATGTTCTAGACTGGCTTTGGTCATGTTCTAGACTGGCTTTGGTCATGTTCTGGACTGGCTTTGGACATGTTCTTGACTGGCTTTGGACATGTTCTAGACTGGCTTTGGTCATGTTCTAGGATGGCTTTGGACATGTTCTGGACTGGCTTTGGACATATTCTGGACTGGCTTTGGACATGGTCTGGACTGGCTTTGGACATGTTCTAGACTGGCTTTGGACATGTTCTAGACTGGCTTTGGACATGTTCTAGACTGGCTTTGGACATGGTCTAGACTGGCTTTGGACATGGTCTAGACTGGCTTTGGACATGGTCTAGACTGGCTTTGGACATGTTCTGGACTGGCTTTGGACATATTCTGGACTGGCTTTGGACATATTCTGGACTGGCTTTGGACATGTTCTTGACTGGCTTTGGACATGTTCTTGACTGGCTTTGGTCATGTTCTAGGATGGCATTGGACATGTTCTAAACTGGCATTGGACATGTTCTGGACTGGTTTTGGACATGTTCTGGACTGGCTTTGGACATGTTCTGGACTGGCTTTGGACATATTCTGGACTGGCTTTGGACATATTCTGGACTGGCTTTGGACGTGGTCTGGACTGGCTTTGGACATGTTCTAGACTGGATTTGGACATGTTCTAGACTGGCTTTGGACATGTTCTGGACTGGCTTTGGACATGTTCTGGACTGGCTTTGGACATGGTCTGGACTGGCTTTGGACATGGTCTGGACTGGCTTTGGACATGGTCTGGACTGGCTTTGGACAGTCCCAGGTTTGCATGAAGTTGTGGAACCGCTGCTCGTAGGTTTCCTGTCTTTAGATGTTTGTTTTGTTGTTTTGCAGCAGAAATGAGAAAGAACATGTGAATCCAACACCTGAAGACGGTTTGGTTCTGTTCGCTCTGGTCCAGTTGGACTTAAAATGTAACTGAGTGAAGGACACAAAGCTGATCCTGCAGGAAGTAAAACAATAACCCAAGTATGTGTTACTTAAAGGACTTTACCCTGGTGATGTCCACAGTCCGGACATCGGTGTCCACGCCTACACACACACACACACACACACAGAGTCAGTAAACAGGTTCAGGATCCATCAGCCAGCTGGCCTGCTGCCTCCTTGTCGCTACCTGAGCTGATCTCAGAGCAGGAAGTGAGGTCACTGCTGGACTTGGTGGTGTTGTTGAGGGTCTGGTCAGAGGTGGGGGGGTCAGATGAGGGTGGGGTCTGTGGGAGGGGCAAAGCAGCCACACCTGAGCTGTTCCCACTGACATGACTCATCTGAAAGAAAGTGTACGACATCAGTTCCACAAGGATCCGACAAAAATCACTTTTTACAGAGTTTTATCAAAACCCTCAATGTGCATCACAGTCCAGTCGTTTACCCAGACCAGTCAGTCTTTGGTCTCCACTTGGACCTGAAAAAGGTCCAAATAAAGCCCAGTCTTGAAAAAGGTCAGAGCCAGGTCAACATCAGGACCCACCTGACTCTCCTGGGAGCTGTGTCTGGATGAGATCCAGGAAGCAGCCTTCAGTCGGCCCAGCTCCAGCAGGACCGGACCACGAGCGCACTGCAGGACAGAGACCAGACCCGTCAGATGAAGAGTACTTCAGAGCTGTCCATCAGGTCTGATCCGAAGACGCTCACCTTCAGGATGGCGGCCACAGCTTCCTGGGAGGCGTGTCTGGTGTCGTCTCCGTTCACTGACAGGATCTGGTCTCCCTGCATCAGCCGTCCGTCCAGCTCAGCGGCGCCCCCTCGGACCACCTCAGAGATGAAGACGCCGTCGCCGCTCCTGCCCAACAGAAGGAGAGAACCTCAGAACCTGCAGACATTACGCTTCAAGACCTCGGTCTTTAAGGCGGACCTCTTCCCAACGATGCTGAAGCCCAGCCCCCTGCCCGTCTTCTTCTGCAGTTCCACCTTAAACAGGTCCAGGTTCTCCTCGTCTCTGTACTGGGCCTCGTCCCTCAGAACCGTCAGGTGGACCTTTGCTGGCGTCTGACGCAGAGCGGCGATGGCCTCCTCGTGGGACGCTCTGCGGAGGTCCACGCCGTTCACCTGGAGACACAAACAGGAAGTGAAGGACCTTAAACTTCTTTACTTCCTGTAAAGTGAACTGCAGCAGCAGAACCTAAAGGACAACCGATCCAATCAGAACCATCAGAACCACCAGCAGAGCTGGTGAAGTACCTCCAGGATCTGGTCTCCAGCCCACAGCCGTCCATCCCGGGCCGCAGCTCCTTCTTCATAAACCTCATGGATCAAAATGGCCTCCTGAGGGACAGAGTTCAACACGATTCTGTCAGAACCGGGCCCAACTGGGCCCAACTTCAACCATGAAGTTCTGATGTCCTCAGAGCTACCAGCTGGGTGTCTCGTCCTCCCACGATGCTGAGACCCAGTCCGGATCGGCCCTTCCAGATCTCCAGAACCGTCTCCTGGCCCGGAACCACGACACAGCAGGACGGGTCTGAGGAAGAGGAGGAAGCTGCTGATGAAGAGCTCGTCATCGTCTGAAGCTTAGATGTGTCAGTTTTATACAAACGATTCTGTCTGAACAACAGAATTATTAATTAAACAACACTGTTAACAATAAGTGTTAATTAGGTGTCAACGATGGCCATGTGATGTGAGTATCAGTCACATGGAGGC